ATTGTAATTACTCATTGTAATTACTCATTACCGGAGCGGATCCGGTGGATCCGGCACCCACAGTACCGAGTAATTACCTCTACTAATACGTAGGTTTCCTTTTAGAAGATTATTTTATTTTTAGGTTTAATAAAATTAATTGGGAAATAAAATGGTATGCTAAAATAGTAGAAATATTACTGAGGTCTGCTATTCTGTTTTTGTGTATTTTTGAATGAAAATTAAAAACGTACGTTTTCAGGAAAAGCACTTTTAAAATTTTTTGTTCCGTTTTTAGAAACTTTTTTTATTTCATTGACATTTGAAGTTTCATAAAATGTCCATGGTAACGTAATATCTTTGGTGATTTTTTATAAATAGAGCATCTTTGATGAAAAAACACAAAATTTTGTCATGACCATCACGGACATAAAACTGAATATTAAAAATAGTTAATATTATTTTTATAACTATGTTTTGCTATAAATTAATCTACTTTTATGGCCATTATACAATAAACAGCTCACTAAGCTTTTGGTATATTTGGTCTTTCTGGAAAAAAATTTAAAAATTCAAAAAAAGCCAATAAAATCTTTTAAGTTTGTATAACTCCGAAAAAACTTACCTGAGACCCGAAAAATCTTTATGTTTTTATAGAGGTGTGCTTCTTTTGTGTATAAAACATAGAAATATGATGATATTTTAATTTTTAAAATTTTTATGATAGAAATCATCAACGTGATGGTCCGGGATAAGCGGTACGGTCGTGAATTGTCTGGAGTAATCTAAATCTTTCTAAACAATCCTTCAGTTATACTGTTAGTTATAATAAAAATATGTGTTTCAATTGAAGTAAACTGTTCAATTTGCAATGATATTTAAGTTATTTTCACGACCAAATACAGTATAATCCATAAGGCTGGATTGGTCGTGAAAAAAACCGCGATGGTCTTGAAACTTTTGTCGTGACATTACGTATTATTTGGCTCTGTTCTGGCGGTAGCCTTGCACCTCATGTTTGAGGATACAAAGTGGACTTCTAGGTTAATGTAGCAATTGAAATATCCTATCAACAAAAATTAAAACCACATCTACTTCATCAAATGACAACGTACGGTCATGGACACACCAAAATTACAAAAAACACAAACTTGCCTTTATTAATCTTGTAACAACTTCTTTCAACACAAAACAACCGGCACAACAAACTTGACGTACACCTCGAACTAGTCTCAAAAACGAACTGACGCAATCGACGGCAGGCTTGCCACTGTCGTGCTCCAAAGTTACAAATTTTTGCCAAATGGTCGTGACGCCAAATCGAGGGACAGACTTATTTTGTCATGATAGTCAGTTTGCAATGGCAATAAAATTATAATATGCTCCTTTTTTGTAAGTTTAATAACTATTGATGACATAAAAATATGGATTTATATATTTCGGCATGAATAAGTCTAAAAACAGCGTGAAAGTTGGAAAATGTACCCTAGGGACACGTCATGGTCGTGAATTTTGAGACTTTAAAAATATTTAAAAAATACCTAGAACCTATTTAAAACCAAATAAATGTGTGTAACATGTTGCCCCCGTCCCAAAAATATTAAAACACATAATAATAAACTACAAATCCAGTATCTACGAAGTAAAAGGCCAGGGACATGAAAACGTACGTTTTTAAATTTTCACTCTTTTGCGTCGTGATGAAAAGTATCGTTTATAACTCGTACCAAAAGTTATTATCCAGCACTTGCTCCATTATTCCCGTCCTTGGCTTCGCCTCGTACGTGAAAATAGCAATGAAATTGGGGTTCCCTGTGTTCGGCTTCGCCTCCCACAAAAACTTGAGCACGCGCCGGAAAATGCCACTTTTGGTCCTAGTAATGAAATATACTATTCTTCGATATCAGCTGATATAAAAAAAGTAATTGTTTCCCAAGCTCTAATTTAGAGCAGGAGAAAAACGATCACCTTATTTCCCCTCGCTCTAAATTTACTTTCCCTCTTTCTCGATTAGTTCTCCATTTATCCATAACGAGCGCTATAGTCCTCGCCACCCTGGGACCGCGTCTCGTTGTCCCGCCGTCTAGTTGTACCTACGTCTACTTGTACCTCGAGGCCTAGGGACAACTAGTCGTAGGTACAACTAGACGTAGGTACAAGTAGACGGTGGCACACCCGACTAGTTGCACCTGCAGATTTTTAGGAGGTACAACTAGACGTAGGTACAAGTAGACGTAGGTACAACTAGACGTGTATCCCACCGACAAGTAGTATCACCTAGCTTGTACGGATGCGACCAGTTGTCCCTACGACTAGTGGTCCCTCCGTCTAGTAGTCCCTACGTCTAGTTGTACCTACGACTAGTTGTACCTTACTTGTACCTCGAGGCCTAGGGACAACTAGTCGTAGGTACAACTAGACGTAGGTACAAGTAGACGGTGGCACACCCGACTAGTTGCACCTGCAGATTTTTAGGAGGTACAACTAGACGTAGGTACAAGTAGACGTAGGTACAACTAGACGTGTATCCCACCGACAAGTAGTATCACCTAGCTTGTACGGATGCGACCAGTTGTCCCTACGACTAGTAGTCCCTACGACTAGTGGTCCCTCCGTCTAGTAGTCCCTACGTCTAGTTGTACCTACGACTAGTTGTACCTACGCGTATTTTGCGTCTTTATAGTCTAGTTGTATCTATCCTTCAATTCGTTACCCTGTTTAATTGATTACTGCACGAGTACTTTTTAATAATACCCTTTATTAAATCAGGAACTGCAGTGTTCCGAGTCAATTGAGTATGATTTTCTATAGAAAGGTAGAGTTTAAGTGGAAAAAACAATGATAGCAGATCTTGACAAGAAATAATGAAAACCAAAGTGTAATATGGATAAGCACTGACCAAGGGACACAAGTAGGCCTACATTGTTATCAAGAACAGGTGTTGCTCAATGAGCTGCAGACAAGCCAAATTTTCCTGGCTTTTGTAATAAGTTGTTTATAAAAAATTGTTGTAAGATTGTATGATTTTTAAAGAAATAAAATAAATCCCTTAAACTGGTGACAAGTTGAAGGGGAGATACAACTAGCCGTAGGTACAACTAAACGTAGGTACAAGTAGGCGTAGGTACAACTAGTCGTAGGTACAAGTAGTCGTAGGTACAAGTAGTCGTAGGGTCAAGTAGTCGTAGGTACAAGTAGTCATAGGTACAAGTAGACGCAGACGTATGAGGTACAAGTAGACGGTGGCGTACGCGACTAGTTGTACCTGTAGATTTTTAAGAGGTACAACTAGACGTAGAGACAGCTAGACGTAGGTACAACTAGACGTCCGCACCATCGTCAAGTTGTACCTACAGCTTTGGACGAGGTACAACTAGACGCCTGTCACCAAAATGCAGCAGGTACAACTAGACGCCGGTACAAGTAGACATCGCCCCGCCACCCTAAGTTGAGGCACCCAAGGCTGCACGGTGTATATCTAGTGCGGTTTTGTTAGATTTATTGTAAAAATTAAAATCAGCTGTTTACATTGTTGCACAATCTAAATGTGTACAGAAACAGGCATTAGTTTGTTTTGCTGTGTTTTTAGCATTGTGCATGTTTGAAATTGCTCAAAGTATGTCTAACATTCATGTTTGACGAAAACAGCTTCAGAGGCAACTAATCACCTTCAACTAGAGAAATCATGAGAAAGATAAGAGGAGGAATACAGAAAGCTTAAAAACTGGTACAAACTATGAAATATTAAGTATAATTAAAGTAAGTGAGGAAGTAGGCCTATTTAGTAATATATTTATCTAAAAAAACTATAATAATGGAACAAGGCCACACTAAAAAAACAGGCCGTAATGCTCGTCAAGCATGACGTCACGATAGAAGACGGCAATGACGCAGGTATTTATTTATTTATTTTCCAAGGAAAGATTAAAACATAAGCAGCTGATCACAAACGGCAAACATTACGTCATTGCTCAACATGAGACATTTTGGGGGCAGCAAAAAAGAGTTAAATATAAAGCTTAAAAACTAAAGCCATTTTGTACTGGGGTGAGATAGGGACTTCTAGTTTTCGCCAATATCGTTTTTAACTGATGGCCTTTACAATGAGGTGGCACTTGATGAGATTTAACATTTGTAATGTATGAGCTACCCCCAAAATACCCCATTTGGAGGTTATGGACGAAATTGGGATACCAACAAGTGTAATTTTATGCCACATAGAGGTGTGCAGTGTTTAGTTTACCTGGTGTAGCCCGTTGAAATGGGGGGTCCATGTTTTTGCTTAACCCTGTATTTTTATTAACCCTATATATATATATTATAATCTAATGCATTACAACTAATCCCAATTACCCTTGACCAATGGGTGTTAAATAAATGTTCCTGGTTAAAGAAATAACAGATTTTTGGCAGTAACAAAGCTACTCAGGTCATCTCACTCCATTCTACACTCACTTTGTAGTCATATTCAGCTTTAAGTGTGTCTTAAAAATTGATTGGTTGATTGTCCATTTAACCCCATGATTGTATAAAACGGTACTTTCCTGTTAAAGGGAACATTCATTATTATCGATGATTTTTTTCTCGATATATCGATGTTTTGGTTTTCCGATCCATTACAAATTGACAACAAGAAATGAAACTGTTCTAAGCTAACCTAACATAACCAACCATACCTGCTGTACCATTTAAAAATTCCGTTTGGGTTGAATATAAAAGGCAAGTTTTAAACGCGGAATTTTTAAATGTTACAGCAAGTTTGGTTAGTTATGTTAGGTTATTTATTTTAGAACAGTTTCATTTCATTAATGTTTGTTGATACTGAACAATATTTTTCGTCATTGTCAGCTGATATGTTTCAATTTGTTAATATCGATATATCGAGGAAAAATCATCGATAATAATGAATGTTCCCTTTAACAGGAAAGTACCTATAAAACCTCCTATATAAATCTCAAATTGTTCATTGTCTGAAAAAAAGAGAGTTAATTGTCAGATTGTAATACATACTATTATCTCAGTTCACAGTGTTGGGTTTGATGAAGCAGAATGTCATCTATCAGGGCCTCCTTTGGAGCTCATGGACCGCATCTCTGGGTATGAAGATGTATCTTTTGACTCTAGTAAGTAAACATCATCAAATCAACATTAAAAATAAGCATAAATAATTAGAGTAAGAGGGGCAAAATTGCATAATTAGCGTCCTTTCTGCAATTTATAAAGTAGCTTTTCCCACACCCCCAATTGTTATACAGCAGAATGAATCTTGATAACAAGTCACACATGATGATGATCAAATATGACTTCTGATCAAGGTTGACTCCTTATAGAGATTCGTTGTGCAATTAAGGGTAATATAAATCCATGAGTATTTGTAAATGGCACTTATTATCAAGGGCCATTTGTTATTGAGGGTGTTCTTATCGAGGTTCCACTTTATCATAAAACCACTCTATAACAACCATCTCGTACAATAATGACTATGGCACAACACTGGTGTTGTTGACATAAAGTAGTGATTGTATTTCACAAGTAATAAAATCTTAATTTTAACTACTAACAACTTTGAAAAAGTAGCCTTGCAATTATGCAAATTTATTTTAATTCATGTTGCTATTCAATTGTATTAGCTTCGAAAGACGTTCATTGTCAATGTCAATCAGATCAAATTTGTTTACTTTGACATTCATACAAGTAACAATGCTCTATTGTTTCATTGTGCTGATTCATTTTTTTTTGTGTGGCAGCTGACATAGCTGGGAGAAGTGTCATGTTTAACCACAAAAAAATCAATATTCGTTCACAAATCATGCATGGAAATAAGTGAATTTTACAAAAATGCTGCTATGTGCAAACATTTCTCATCTTTGATTAGAACTAATGTGTTGGGCTCAAATAGATGTAATTATCGGAGGCTGAATTGAGGAACTAACCATGATCTGTAAAGTAGTTGTCAATCAATTGATTGTGTTGCAAAGTTATAAACTATGAGTATACAGGGTGTTTTTTTTTTAAGTGTGCCACCATTGGGATCTCAGTAACTAATGCTTTTACAGCAATCTTTAAATGGGGAACATTTCCTCGTTTTTAAAGAGGTTCAAAAATAATTAAATTAAATTTTTGTAAATGGCCGCAATTTTCCAATATGGCGGTCAACTTTGAAATTTCTTATGGAACAACCTATATTTTATCATGTTTTCGGATAGAACATGCAATTTAAAAACTTGTTTATTCTTGACATTTTTTCGATAAACCCACTCGTTTAGGATGAGTTACAGCCTATGGAAAAATGACTTCCGGTGTACATTTAACATCATGTAGCTCCTAAACAAGTAGGTTTATAGCGAAAATGCGAAAAGTAAATAAGTCAAATAAGTCTTAAAATTGCATCCACATTCGAAAAAGACCATAAAATACACAGTTTTCCACTTTTCAAGTTTGCCACCATTTTGGAAAATGGCTGCCATTTTTGAAATAATAGAATTAATATTTTTAACGAATTTTATGGTCTTTTTGGAATGTGGATGCAATTTTAAGACTTATTTGACTTATTTACTCTTCGCATTTTCGCTATAAACCTACTTGTTTAGGAGCTACATGATGTAAAATATGTACACCGGAAGTCATTTTTCCATAGGCTGTAACTCCTAAACGAGTGGGTTTATCGAAAAAATGTCAAGAATAAAAAAGTTTGTTCCATAAGAAATTTCAAAGTTGACCGCCATGTTGGAAGTTGGCCATTTACAAAAAATTTTTTTTTTAATCTCTTTAAAAACAAGGGAATGTTCCCCATTTAAAGTTTGCTGTAAAAGCATTAGTTACTGAGATCCCAATGGTGGCACACTTAAAAAAAGCACCCTATAGTCAGTAATCGTCCCCTTGGCGGGCCTTTTGTTTTCAATTTTTAACAAAATTCCTAACAAAGACTGATGCAGTGTTGTTTTATAACTAGTTTTTGCTGGGTAAGGGGATTAAAGGAATTGTAGAGGATTGAATAAAGAACAGAGCAACTGGAAATTCTAGAAATCAAGCATTGCTTTAAACAAATCTCTTTATTCTACTAACAGATTTCATCAACCTATTTGTTGTTTTTCGTAATTTTTTTTACCATTTTTAGCACCATTTTACATAGTCACTTCTGTAGTTGTAATTTATTCTATGGTTGTATGTTATACATATTTACCTTGAGAGTCATAAATTCTTTAGAAAATAGTAAACTATAAATTTTTTTCTATAATGATTACTATAAACAATTATTTAGAAGTTCCCTGGAAAACATGCGGTATATAGTTGATGTACAATTAGGAATATCTATTAGTATCCCAATGTGCAATTATAAAAACACTTGGTGACCTTCCCATGACATTTTTTTACATAGACACATTTTTTTCATTGTCATATTTTGTTATACCTGATGATGAAATCAAAGTTCTTAATTCTTGACAAAGCAAATTCCAATTTTGGCTAAACACAAGATATCCAGGAAATGAATTGCTAAATGCTGTAAGTCATTTAGTTTATATTTACCGTTGCATATATCACACAATGCTATAATACTGGATGTACACTCAGACTTTTCATAATTCACTAGACACAGGCTAGTTATAATCCCTCTGCCAGATGGTCAACGAGGAAGGAAAATACAAATACAAATAACTAAAGTCATTTAGAAATGGTGTTTACAGTGTGAACTACCTATTCAATTGTAAAAAATTTCATCTTATTCTATAAGTGTTTCAAAAGCAAACAAGTTAACCCTGTTGAAGATAGATATGTTTTTCAACAGCTTGTGTTCCACCCCCGGCTGAAAGCAGGTGTTGTATTGACGAAGGCCAGGAGAGTAACACCCCAGTGGTAGACAGACCGTCGCTGACGGAGCAGGAAGCCAGAGAAGCCCTCCTCACACACATCGGCAAACACTCCTGTTATGGCAGAGACACTGCCAACAGTCACCTCATAACTAGCTTGGAGGCCTCATCTGCCTTTCATGTTAGTGCTCCACATTAGTCTACTTATTTCTTATGTGTGATTTTCAAGACTTAAGGACATTTATACCCCTGAAATTGTCTTTGTCAGGTTATGTTTCTGAATCAGGTGAACAAACTAGCTGGAGTTCGGGAATTTATCCAATATTCCCATAGGTAAGATCTAAATAAAGGCTGAGCAAGTTCTGAATTGTATCTAAACCCTTTCCCAATTCTGGAATTTTATTTTTATCAACTAATTCAAACTTCAATGCTGTGAAAATTTGTCACACAAATGTGCATCAAAGTCGAGGGATTTGGATTCATTGAACACAAATATGTCTGAATATTATAAGCTGTTGTGGACCTTCAGTTAACAGAAAGCTATAGGGCATATATCTGTTGTTGTGTTGGGTTTGCTTAAACCTCTCAAATGTTTTCAACTTCAATCCAAACAAAACTTCAAATTAAAAATTGGAAAGAGATTTTGGTGTTTTTTTTTTTTTATATTACCAACATCTTTGACACCATTGCTTGGTAAACCTTGTCGTATTTCCTCTGATCTTTCAATGTGCATGTGGAAAATGGGCATAAGACAATGTGGTATTAGGTTGAAACTGAAACTAGGTTGAATCAAGTGTAGCCCTTAACATAAAAAAATCTGTTCCAGACCAATCTTCAACGTTTCAAAACAAAAAAGATAAATTTTAAAATTAATTAAACCATATTTTAAAAATTAGAGATATACAGATTGATAAACGAATATGGCCTGTCACACTGAATTGAAATGTCACATCCTTTTAGTTTAGCACACCAGGCGTCCATTGTCGATATCTTTGTTTTGACTTTTGCTACAAAAGAATACTTAACTATAGTTTGTAGCTCCTTGTAACGTAGACTAAACAAACTCCAAGTGACCAAATTGAATATTACTAACACTAACATGTATATAGGTTTGCTTAAGGAAGGGGTCCTAAATATTTGCTATTTATTGAAATATTAATGTTGTAGTATTACATTAAAAAATCAATAAAAATTAAAAATGTATCTATAAACTAGCATAGCCTACTGTTTTTGGGGTATTCCCTTAAAATCTTTAGATGTTAATCTTTATTCGCTATCAACTATTGTAGAGTCGTATGCCTGAAATCGTCCGTCGTCTGCCGATCTTCCCTACTTTTCACAGCGTACACAAAATACTCAGACTTGAATGACCCCCTTAGCTCCCCTGGGACCGCTCTTGCGAGTCACCACTGTTTCTCCATGTGATATTTCACAGTCTTTAGACCACTGCCCAGATTAGTCTATGATGACAAGATTGAGGTTTTAAAAATATAACAAAGAAGAAAGTGTTTGCTTTAGTACCAGTTGGAGACGTTCACAGAGCGCAGGGAGAACTCGTGGGCACACACAGCGTTCTCTACGATGACAGAAATCGACGGGCCTGATAACGGACCTGCGCCACTGCCATGGGACATTGCCGTCTCGCCTCGAGGCATGTTCGAGGCGGAAGTCAAGACATTGTGGGTCCCTCACACGTCGTCTGTCAAACATTGCTTCCGCTGCAACAGCCAGGGCTCTGTGGCATGTCAGGAGTGTCATAGTAAAGGATGGGTACGCAAGTAGAATTATAATTCATTTGTGGATGGGTATTTAATTTATTTGTCAATATATTATGCTTCAAGCAGACTTTGACACATTCATGCTTAAACAATCTGACCACAATAAGATTATAAAATTCTCTAAACACTCCACAACATAGGCTAAATAGGTTTTAATTGTCACAACAGTATAGAGGGCTAAAATGTACAATAAATTACCGCTAAACATAGAACAAATAGACTCTTTAACCAAATTTTTAACTTATTTTTTAGCGAATTTCCCTATAGGGAAGTAGCTATTACCGTAGGTCTCATGGTAACACTTAGGCCCGGGACCGATTTACTTTTTCATTTTGATGTCCCCAGAGGCCAAAAACACCATTCGTTCAAATTTTTATATATGTATATATATATATATATATATATATATATATGTGTCCGTGAACACGATAACTTGAGTAATTTTTATCCGATTTTGATGAAATTTGGTTTAAAGGTGTAAGGCGGGATAAACTTGAATGAGTTCGCGATCCAGCATGATCGGACCATGGGAACAGGGTTTTATGGGGGGTTTTATGGGGTAAAAATTGGTTTTTCTCACTTTTGACCCTCAAAACACAAAATTTCCCAATTTTCCTCTAAACCTTCTTAAAGAGCTTAAAAAAACAAACAATTCAGTATATCAAAGTGTTTTTGTACGGTTATTGGTTACGGAGAAAACTAAAAAATTGGTCAATTTAAAATTCCCATGTTATTCTTATGGAAAATATTATAAAATGTTGTAGTTTGCTTGTTTATGGATATCTTTTGATCAAACTTGGCAAATATATTCATTTTATACTAAGCAATAATTATTTTACTTAAAACACACACTTTATTAATTTCCTTGTAGCAGCAAACCTAGGTACTCGTTAAACCTAATGTTATTTAAATAGATCAATTGAAAATTAATTCAGCCAAATGGAAATTCGCTAAGACAGCAGGTTTGCTGCGGCGGGGGTATATTTTTGTACTTAGGAAGATTTTTAAAAGCCAATAATTTTGTTTTTGTAATAATAATTGTATACAGTTGTTTATGTTTATGTTCTTGTTTTATTTTAAATAGTCATTCTTTAGTTGAAGACATCTAGATTTTGAAATAAGTTGACTAATCACCTGTCAATTGTAATATTGTAATATTTTGAACAAACAAAACAAACTAATAAATATACATGATGTGTGAAGTAACCTATTGATTATCACTTCTTGAAATTCAGATATACATATTGTGGAGGTTTTACCATGTAAATGCATGATGAATCGAATAGATGAGCAGAAATATTGAAACCATGAACTCGACATTTCTTTGCTTAGTATCATCATTAGTGCAGCAATGATCAATATTGGATGAATTGTGAATCAAACTGTGAACAGAAGTTAAGGTATTTTTTCTTTAGATCAACTCGTCAAAATCTTTTACTATTCTAGATGAGCATTCCTCTCATGTATTTTATGCGAGGTAGAAAAAGAGTATGAGTGATAACTTATCTTCAAATATATATCGACAACACAATATTTATATTTTTGTGTTTCATTCATAACAATCCTTCACAAAATCATTTTTCTTAAGATTATATTCATTAGTTTGGATAACATAATAAAGGAGTTTAACAGTGCTACAGTGGAATCCTCATCCGCAACAAAGAGAAAAAGTCCCCTACAAGATTGGTGAAGAGGGGCACAATTATATCTTGGTTCCGTAGCGCAATACATGCAAACCGCGGGCCTTTTGCCACATAGTTACAAACAACACACACAAACAAAACACAACACATACACACACACATAGTTACATCTTCAAAGTATGTACACCTTCAAACTAAATGTTACTATGTACAGGTGTTTTTGAAGCATTATTGTTTATTTACACCACTGATCACACCGGCAGTGTGGCGCGGTGGCAGCGAACACGTGTTGAGTGTACGGTCCCGGTTCACTTCCGTCACTGTTTGAGGTATCAGGGCGGTGATTAGTTATGATTAGTTAGAAGACTGGGGCTGTGAGACGGTATTTTCCAAGTATTGGAGTGTTGCTGACTTTCTACCAGGGTTGCCAAATATTTGAAGTTTATTTCTATATCATGGATGGATTTTAAAATTACGGAATCTTTAAAATCTTTTTTCATGTTGAGCCCACCGCTCTGACACCACAAGTCAAACCTCAATACAGGCACACAGCACACAGCCGCCGTGCCGCACAACTGGTTTGAACGGTAATGTAAATAAACAATAGTGCTTCACAAACACTTGTACGTAGTGATGGTTTAAAGGTGTATATGCTCTGAAGATGTGACAACTGTAGCAAAATGCGCTTCAGTGACTATTGAAAAGCGGTATCTGGGCTCACCAGTGAAGACGAACCATATCAGGTAAACACCTTACTATATATGATGGGGGAAAAGGCCGAAAGCATATTTGAATCATTTAATTTGACATCTGAGGAAAGTAAAAGTTTCAAAACTGTTTTAAAAAAGTTTGAGACATATTTCGCTCCTTCTAAAAATGTAATCTTTGAGAGGTACATGTTTCATACTAGGATTCAACATGAGGAAGAGCGTGTTGAGAGTTTGATTCATGATCTACATGAGATGGCTTCTAGATGCGATTTTCCTGCTTCTTATAAAGATGAGGCTATACGAGATCAACTTGTTGTAGCCATTAGAGACAAAAGTTTATCTGAAAAACTACAAATGAATGCAGATCTAACACTTAATTCTGCTGTCTCAAATGTTAAGCAAGCCGAATCGGTTAAAATGCAACAATCATTGATAAGGTCCAGGTCTTCTGAACATGCACTAACTGCAGATAAAGTCACTTCAAGGACTTGGGGCACTAAATTTGCTCAGAAACCTCCAGTTGATTCCAATGCGTCCAGTTCCAATTACTACAATCAATGCCAGTGGTGTGGTAACGCTCAACATGAACGACCAAAATGTCCTGCCCGGAATATTTTCTGTCGAAACTGTAACAGGAAGGGCCATTTTGCTAAATGTTGCCAGTTCAAAAATGTCAAAGAAATAAATTCAAATCCTCTTCAAGATGAAGTTGTTAAGAGTGACAAGTTTGTGGGGTCTATTAATCCTCAAAAGAGCCCTTAAGCAAAATGGTCTGCTGAAGTTAAACTAAATGGAGTATGTATTCAAGCTAAGATAGACACTGAAGCTGACGTTTGTGTCTTGCCCCAATCACTTTATAAGTTGAAATTATTTTTGTACCCACTAAATTCAAGTAACAAAGTTTTAATTGGGCCTAACGGATCTGTCCTTAATATCTTGGGCGTATTCGAGGGTACAATCCAGTACAAGAATCAATATTGTAAGTCTCAGTTTTATGTAATATCTGGTGCTGATAGAACTCTTTTGAGCAATGAAGTTAGTGAAAAATTGGGTCTAGTTAAAAGGATGTTTCGAGTCAACTCAACTGGCTCATTTGATCCCTATTCATCGTAGGTACCCTAAACTTTTCGGCGGTCTTGGTGATACACAAGCTCATTATAATATAAAATTAAAGCCAAACGCTGAACTGTACTCTCTCAAAGTTCCAAGGCGTGTTCCCCTACCCTATAAAGATGCTGTAAAAAGAGAACTGGATGCAATGTTGGATAAAGGTGTTATCGTGAGAGTAGACACTCTGACTGACTGGTGTTCACCTCTTGACATTGTCCCTAAAAAGGACAATTCAATAAGACTTTGCGTAGATTTTACTAAACTTAATGAGAGTGTTAAACAAGAACTATATCCTGTGCCCTCTGTAGACTACACTCTGGGACAATTAGATGGTGCTAAGGTGTTCTCGAAACTAGATGCTAACTCGGGTTATTGGCAAATACCCATAACAGAAGAAGCTTATCATATCTTACTACTTTCATCACACCTTTTGGAAGGTTCAGATTTTTACGACTCCCTTTCAGGATTTCCACTGGTTCAGAAGTATTCCAGCGTCAAATTTTTGAATCACTTGAAGGCCTTCAAGGTGTTGTTTGCCATTTCGATGACATAACTATATACGGGAAAGATATGGAAGAACATGACAAAAATTTACATAGTGTTTTGTGTAGGCTACAGGAAAAGGGCTGAACACTTAATAGATCAAAATGTGTGTTCCGGCATGACAGTATCAGTTTACTAGGCCACCTTGTAACTAAAAATGGTATTAAGCCAGATCCCTCTCGTGTTGAGGCTATCCAAAAACTCAAGACGCCAACTAATATTAAAGAACTAAGAAGAATTCTAGGTGTTGTCAATTATGTAGCAAAGTTTATTCATAACTTGTCGACCATAGTTCATCCACTACATGCTTTACTGCAAAGAAATACAGAATTTGTTTGGGGGCCTGATCAAGACCAAGCTTTGGGAAAGATTAAACTGTCATTGATGTCCGAACCATGTCTCGCTTTATTCATCATGTCTAAAGAAACCTTCCTCTCAGCGGATTCCTCGTCATACGGTATTGGAGTTGCACTACTTCAGCTTCAAGAAGATGGAACTAAACGTCCTGTGGCCTATGCTTCGAGAAGTTTGTCATCAGCCGAACGTAATTGGGCTCAAATAGAAAAAGAAGCTCTAGTGATTGCATGGGGGTGTGAACGATTTGAACACTTCATATTAGGGTTGCATTTGCATATTGAGACAGACCATAAGCCCTTGCTCTCCATATTCAAGATAAAAGACTTGGACAATATTACTCCCAGGCTTCAGAGAATACGACTCCGGCTGATGAGATATACATATGATATTACCTACACGCCCGGCAAACAGTTGATTTTGGCTGATGCACTGTCTCGAGACACAGAGAACTCTGAAGAGGAATGGGAACTTACAGAGGAAATCCTTGCTTATATACAAAATATTGACACTACTCTACCATCAGTTTCGGATGAAAGGTTGCGAGAAATAAATCAAGAAACTATGAAAGATGAAACTCTAAAACATGTGTCTCAGTATTGTGTGAAAGGTTGGCCAGAAAAATCTAAGATTCCAGAGGACGTATTGCCCTACTGGTATCAAAGAGAAGATATAAGTGAGCAAAATGGTATACTTCTCTTTGGAAGTCGTATTATAATACCAAATTCTTTAAGAGCTAATGTACTAAGAAGTATTCATGAAGGACATCAAGGCATAACAAAATGTAGATCTTTTGCAAAATTGACTGTGTGGTGGCCTCGTCTTTCTCAACAAATCAAAGAACTAGAAGAAAATTGCAAGATATATGCAGAAAATCGCGCTACGAGAGCAGAGCCGCTGATACCAACCCCTTATCCGGACAGACCTTGGCAAATAGTGGGTGCCGATTTGCTGAAGTGCAAAGGTCACTGGTATCTCTTAATCTCAGACTATTATTCCAGGTTTATGGAGATTGCTAGACTAAATGACTTAAAAATGGGCACTATTGTGACATATACAAGACTAAATGATTTAAAAATGGGCACTATTGTGACATATACAAAGTCCATCTTCGCACGTCATGGTGTACCTGAGACAGTGAGAGCAGACTGCGGTTCTCACTTTGACTGCTGTCAATTCAAACAACTTGGTCGTGATTATGGATTTAAATTGATTACATCAAGCCCAAAATTTCCACAAAGCAACGGCTTCATCAAAGCGCAAGTAAAAAACTTTAAGTACAACTTAGAAAAAAGTGATGATCCCTACAAAATGCTACTTATGTTAAGAGCAACCCCTCTAGAAAATGGGAAAAGTCCAGCGGAATTACTTTTCGGGAGAAGGATCCGCACTTATGTTCCAATAATGTCTGATCAACTAAGACCCTATCTGGTAGACGCTGAAAAGTTAAGGGAAAAGGAAGAAGCAAGAATTGATCGTCAAAAGATTTATTTTGACAAAAGACATAGAGCCACAGAATTGCCTACTCTACCTGTTGGAGCTCAAGTCCATATAAAGGACAGGAATCAAGAAGGAACTATATTAAACAAACATCCTGCACCTCGATCCTATATCATTCAAACGCAAGGTGGTTGTTTGCGGAGGAACAGAAGATCACTGCAAAGATTTAGCACTATCAGAATCAGAAAATCTTTATTGTTTCATATATATTTACAAGCTTTTACACAGAGTAACTTAAGAATAACTTAGATTAACTAACTCACACACTTATTTATAACTATGAAACAATTCATCCCTAGGTCAAAGACCTGTTTGGGATGTTCTATTACGTATATACACATATAAAAAACTGCTCAAAAGATGGGATCACCGACATCAATAAATGTTACACTCTAAAGCAACTCTAAAAATAACATTACTAAGCTTCATTGTTAAAATAGGACTAAATACCTAAGGTATTTGACCTGATAAATATGAAAAAACTGTACAAATAACAAGGGAGAGTAACTAGATGCATTTAGGATATAAAAACTATGTGGTTTAGAAGTAATATGTTGATCATTAAGATATAGAAATAAAATATGATAAATTGGGAAATGGATACACGTCATAGATAAACTTGGCAACAATTTCGATAATATGCACTACTATGCCTTCTGATCACTCTCAACCAGCACTGCAGACCAGTCCTTCAGAACACCTCAGAAGATCAGAATCTTTCGATCATCCTGCAATAGCATCGCAGACAAAACCTTTAGCGAATCAAAGAAGATCAACAAGACAATTCAAACCTACTCGGAGGTTCGATTTTTAAAGGGGAGATGTGTTGTTATTCATATGTGTTTGAGAACATATGGTATTAGAATATTATTTGTTTAGTTTTTGTTAGTAAACATTCTGAATCTTGATTTATTGTAAAAGCTACCTAATAAAATATTTGTCTTATTAAAACTATATTTTAATTTAACTTACGATAACACTACATAATCTTATGACTAGTGGTAATTTATTATATAATTTATTGCTTAATAAATGGTCTTTCATCAGTCTTAGCAAGTTTAACATGAAGAAGATTTATATTATACATCTATAGCCAGTGTTATGGCTGTGTATGTCTCTCCTATATTCAAGCTTATCCAATTGTGGTCTTAAATATAACAGGCATTGCTTAGTGAATAGAGAAAACAGTGTTTAGATTAAGTACTAAATGTGCAGTGATTCTTTCAAAATCGCCTATAGCTGGTATTCAATATATCAGAAAAACTTGTTCCATACTACTGTGCTGGGTATTTATTTTCCTAGTTTGATTATTTTATTTTTAATGATCCCTCTAAAGCTTTTGGAATACTTAATGAATTAAAGTGACAGAAAACAATTATTGATTAAGGTAGTACCAGAACCTGTAAAATACTCATTTTACTAATACAATCGTAATAGTTTGCATGATTATAGTAAGTTAACTGTGTCAAATTGTATGGGAGATTGAAGTGGTTTTATTCTGTATGTCCTGAATTCCCCTTATTTATAAGCAAAGTGAAATGTTTGTTTATCAATACGGCATCTTGCTGCATCTGCCAACACGTTAGAGCGAAGATTGACAAATCAGTCTCTATCATCACTTTTGATTATATTTATGTTAGGAATAGTTTAGGATGAAAATTATAATCATTGGAAAGTAGTTTTACACATCTAAACTGAGTACAGTCTTATCTAATGGTGAAGATACATAACTATCATCAATATTAATATATTAAACTGTTACACTTAATCATATTTTTTTTAATCCACTCAAACACAAAAAATAAATAACTGTCAATCTTGATTCAAGTTTCATTTTCAAATATGAATAACTTGAAAACTGTTACGATAAGTTATAAAGATTCATTTGTAGAAAATACTGTCGCTTTTCTTTTCTATAATATTATCAAAAAGTAAAGCGCACACTATAACAATTTGTTATGATTCAATGTTTTCTTGCACTGAGGTGTTTGAAAATTAAAATTACATTCCACGAAACATGACATCCTGTTTGTTACTATTAGGAATTCTCCCAGGGTATTTGTTAACATCATATTCATCACAGTTTTAGGGATATCATATACTAATAAACACCTTAAACCATATAAACAATTTCCTCTGCCCAGGTAAGGTGCTTACACTGCAATGGGGATGGGTTCACGTCAGAGTTTGACTACAAGGAAAGGTGTGTGTTCTGCCGATCATCCACCCACGGGTTCGGCCGTCTCGACTGTCTCAGATGCAAAGCCTCTGGCAGGATCTTATGTCAGCCGTGTGAAGGCACCGGCCTCATGATATACTACATTCTCCTCACCATCACATGGTATGTATCAAATTGTTAATATAATGATGTTAATAAAGAACAATTTCATGTTAATGTACCGGTATATTTACTCTAAATTTAACCAGGAAATTACATTAAATATTAATTCAGTCACAAGTATTTTAGCTTTTAAGTATTTTTGAACTATATAGAATGCACAATTTGGTACATTTATTAAATAGGAAACTTTTATGTAACAATATTTCTGATTTCAATAGTAACACAAAATATAAGAAATATTATAGATGAAATCTAACGGTGGAAATTTTAGTTTGCAGGAGGACTAAAGTAGTCTTTAGAGTTGAGACTTTTCTGTTGGTACTTTTTTAGCCCCCCCCCCCCAACAATAACTTTAGCTGTGTATGATAACCCTACAACCAAACACCTAAAGTCTACATAACACACCTACAACACATAACACCTAAAGTCCCTAAAGTAAGTTTTAGTAATTACTTTGTCTATATATCTTAGAAGGAAAATAGGATGGTTCTTTACAGATAATGAATTTCTTTGGTATGAATAAGTTATCTCCCTTCACTAAAGTCCATAATGGTAATTTAATTATTCAACACTTTTGTTAAAGTCTAGCTACTTAGTTTACAAACACGTTAGAAAGTATTTCTCTAAACCCAATGTTTAAATGTACAAAGTAAATTTAACAAATTTATAAAAAGAAGTTTCAGTATTATATGTTGAAATAATGGACTGAATATATGTATGTAAAAGCTTTGATGAAGAAAGGCAGATTAATTATCCTAATTATTTATACTTAATGGAAGGTTCCTGACGGCAAAATTCTGTAAAACTGCTTCCTACGTAATGACCTATGCATGTGATTAGCGTTGGAACGATATGCTAAAATCTTAAGCTAAAGCTGGGTTTAAACCACCTGTTATCAAATTAAAATCTATTTAGAAAAAGGTCGTTTAAGATATGGCAAGATAAATAGTGAATGTATACATTAATTGACTATATATCTATAGGTATATATATATATATATATCTATAGGTATATATATATATATATATCTATAGGTATATATATATATATATATATATAGTCAATGATACATTATTGGATTTCTATTGTCAGAAAGCTTTTCAATCCAAGCAAAACTTATATTTGTTTCAGGAAAACGAATATATCTGAGTATATAAAAAAAAGTGTATCGCTTCCAGAAAAATTTTTTAGATTTGTAACTGGAGAAGAAGTATTTTCACAGATTGGAGAAAGAATAAAGCCTCTTACAGAATTCCCTCAGGAAGAAGTAAATGAAGCATCTAAAAACCTTATAAACAATCACATATCAACATTTGTCGACCAAAAAATACTAATGCAGGTAAAAATGTGTATAATCATATGTGAATGTCGTGTTAAAGAGATGGATCTGATTTGAAACAAAAATAAAATATTTGTTTACTTGTATTACAACTACTTTTAATGACCATTGTCTGAAGGTTTTGTTAATTTATAAGATTACATATCGTCGGTATCACAGGACTCATATAATAAAAATACCAAAGTGTTTGAAATATATTTTAAATATACCCCTGGCACAGAAAACCTGCAGACAAATTGAATTTATATTTGTCTGATTTAATTTTTAATAATAGGGGAGAGAAAGGATAGGATAAGAAGGCTTACCTTAAGAAATGTAGGCATCCCACTTCATTCACTACAGAACACAGAAGAAAACACAAAATAAAATAAACACTGGATATTTTGTGGTCACTGGCCCCTTTCTCAACATGGAGAGTCACATTAGATATTTGGAGTCTTTCACTGGTAAGGAAGCTGTGTTACCAACACACTATGAATTTACAAATGAATTTGTACTAAAATACTTCAAATACTTTTTGCTATTCCAGTTTATTATTTAATGCAATAGTAAAACCACAACAATAAAATAATTGTGTTTTTCAACATATTTTGAATGTGTTTCAGAGACAAACAGTTCGAGCTGTCCCAATCACTCATGTAAGATACAAGTGGAAAGGCCATGAGGGTCAATACTTTGTGTTTGGGGAGGAGAACAGAGTTCATGCCCCAGACTACCCTCAGACTTGCTGTTGGGGCTGCATATGCACCATACTTTAACACCATCAGAGACTTACATAAATAAATGACAATTTAATTTGCTTCGATGTAAAATAGTATCATAACACAACAGAATTATTTTGACAAATTGTAGCTTGTATTGTAAAATACTAGTATCAATAGAATATGTATTGATTATTACATTTATTTAAATAAAAACATTGTTGAGGTTGTACAAAATCATTTTGAAATATAAAAAATGCTGTTAGTTGTTATTTCTATTTATACCTGAGGTGTATTACCTTAAGAAAAATTAAAATATTTATATCTTTTTATGGAGTCTTTATTACTGCTGTGCTAAGCTACCTACAAGGCTTGTATGTAAAGTAAGGTATCCAACAAGCTCCTGTGGTGGCCTGAAATAGTGTATAAAATGGTATTGGGTATTACCTACCCGTCCTAGGATGTGAAAGTGGGAAGTAAAAAAAACTGTTTGGTTTTGAAATTAGAGCCTAGTATATTTTTATTCAATTATTTACCAACAATAACTGATTTTTTTTTAATACAGCATAATATGGTTAGTTTCAAATATATTTGTATCAAATAAAATGTCTATTTAGTTAATCATACTTTTCTTAGTATTATGATTTTCATTTGATCACTGGCAAAAATAAAAAAAAGTTTACTAAATAAAAGTAATTATTAACTAAAAGGCATTTAATTGTATACAAATACTCGCCTTTGGCCTAGCTGTTAGTTGTCATTAGTAGGTTAGAGTTGCAACAAAGCAGGTAGTGAAACAGTCAATATTAAGTCATATAAAAACAATTTCACAAATACATTAGAGGAGATTGGTAAGTTAACTTCAAGCTCGACCTTAAAGAACACCTTATAAAAAAATTAGAAAAAGAAGGTGAATTATGATGATATAGAATAAAGTTATAATTTTGTATATTAAAATTTTTAGTATGGAACTATTGTAGTAAACATCCATATATATTAATTAAAATGTGTTAAGTACTATTTGTTTCCCTGTCAGTTAGCCAAAAATCCAGTTACACAGTTACACATCCAGTTCCGCCACGGGGAGGCCGGAAAACGTAGGAACCATATTTACAAGTATTTACAAATTAACAGGGACTTTCGATTATGCAGACCATAGGGATGAAGTGAACCCGTCAATATTACGTTACAGTATATAAAAACAATATAGTATTTAGATTTCACAAATATATTAGAGGATGTTGGTAAGTTAACTTCGAGCTGGACTTTAAAGCCCCCCTCTTTAAAAAATAGTTTTAAGAATTGCGGTATGAGAGTAGGTTAGTAAGGTATTTGTACAACTGGGTTTTGGTCAAATACATAATAATACAAGGAGAATTGGGTTCGTTATAGTGAAGATTGATGTGAAAGTAAAAACGATTTAACAAATATATTAGACTAGTTATGTTAATGTCGATATGTTAATAAGTTGATAATAGTAAAGTGATACATGAAGTAAAAAGATGATAGTAAATGTTAATGAATATAGTAATGGAAATAGATGAAGTTATGTTTGTTTGCCTGTCAGTGAGCCACAATCTGTATGGCATATCCAGTTTCACCACGGGGAGGCCAGGAAACCTCCGAACCATATTTACAACGATTGTATTTAAAATAACAGTAGTAGTGTTTTAACTGAAAAGATGGTAGTAAATATTTATAAATATATTAATGGAAATCGATTATGAAATGTTTGTTTCCCTGTCAGTTAGCCACAAACTGTATGGCATATCCAGTTCCGCCGTGGGGAGGCCGGGAAACTTCGGAACCACAAACGGTAACACAATACACGCTAAACACACAAAAACACACAAGACACACAAAAACACACAAGACACACAAAAACACACTAAATGTCGGGGACTTTTGTTAAGGCAAGTCGTGGCCCTGTCGTACTGCCATAGATGTCAAATCACGACGGAGAGTTTTGTTAAAGCAGATCCCCTAGCCTACTGCTAAAGTCAAAGTAGGAATTAACGAAGGAGCTCGTTGTATACAATGTTCTTTGCATAGGCGATTCCTTCCTAGACCCTGTCAGGATGGACCCAGGGCCGATTTACCGAATAGGCACGGTAGGCACGTGCCTAGGGCGCGAGGCAATTGGCTTTTTTGGGGGGCGCCAAAAATTTGGAAAATAAAAAAATTGGTGGTTGTTTGCATGCGATTGCGGTATAATTCTGATAATCCCTCGCGGCCGTGTAGACATCATAATCGTCTCCCGCGTTTGCGGCCAGATTCTTACTATTTTCAGGGGTCAGGTAGTTTAGACATAATTATTGTCTTCCATGATCGAAGCAATATATGAGCATATCCGGTGGTCGTGAGGAGATTATCATCGTCTACGGCGAATGAGGCAAAATTCTGATCTTTTCCCGCGGTCGTAAGGACATTATCTTCGTCTTGCGCGATCGCGGTCAAATTCTGACCACCCCTCGCGGCCGTGAAGACATCATTGTATCGTCCCCCGCGGTCGTGTGAACATATTAATCGCCTCCCACGATTGTAAAAAAATGGTAATCATCTCCCTCGGTCTTGTGGAGATCATCATCCTCTTCCGCAAATTAGGTAAAGTACTGAGCTTTTCCCGTGATCGTGTGGCCATTATCATCGCCTTCCGTGATCGCGGCAATATTCTGATCATCCCTCGCGGCCATGTAGAAATCATTATTGTATCTCCCGCAGTTCTGTAGACTTCGTAATCGTCTCCTGCGATTGTGGAAAAATTGTAATCATCCCCTATGGACATATGGAGATCATCGTCTTCCGTGAATGAGGCAAAATTCTGATTTTTTCCCGCGGTCATGTGGACATTATCATTGTCTTGCGCGATCGTGGCATAATTCCGATTGTCCCTCGCGGCCGTGTAAATCATTATTGTATCTCCCGCGGTCGTGTATACATGGTAATCGTCTCCCGCGATTGCAGCAAAATGTTAATCATGTTCCGCAGTTGTGTGGAGATCATCATCGTCTTCCACGATCGCGGTAAAATTCTTGCTGTTTCGCGCGGTCGTGTGGACATTATCATCGTCTTCCGTGATCGTGGCAATATTCTGAATATCTCGCGGCCGAGTGTAGACATATTATCGTCTCCCGCGGTCATGGAAACTGTTGTCATGCGCGATCACGGTAATCTGAAAACTCCAGGTAGAAATACAGAATTCACACATAATTCCCGGTTCATAAAATTCCCGCATGATTCCTGGATTTCCCGGTCGGTGGACACCCTTATATATATATATTGCAAAGGGGCGCTACTATTAGTTGTGCCTAGGGCGCTGACAGGGTCAAAAACGGGCCTGGATGGACCAGAACAACGATGTCGTCAGGATGTCTGACTCTACTGAGAAGGACGTACAGCTGACCATGCGTGAAACAGTCACTGCGAAGATCGACTCCGACACGATCAATCGTCTCGCCCTGGCTTTTGTGGCCAGTCATGGAATATGCCAGCATGAGAGGAAACTGAAGACGGCGGACACGAAGCGGAGACCCCTCGACAAACGGGAAAACGAATTGAATCCGGGGAATACAAATCGAATCACGTTGTCGAGGAAGTCCCACTGTGATCAGACGAGGTCTAATAGCGGTCACGATCACTTTAATGCCGTTTATGAGTCCGCTGTCAATGTTCAGGTTCCTCATGACGAGACACACGGAGCCAATCTTTAGTCCCAGGACATGGTCTGGCACGCCCTTGCCAGTAGCCTGGTTCAACAAGTGAACGTCCACATCCATACCGTCGTCGTACTCCTTGTCCAGAGAATCAGCACTTCTCAACTCATGAACCAAGCCGTCCGTCAGATTGAGAACGGTGTTGTTGATCTGCTGGACATTGGCGTTTCTGGTTGAAAGAATAGCCTGGCCTGCAATTCTAACTGTATGGTTCAGGTCACAAACAAGAAATACAAAGTCAATTAAATCGTGAAGTGATGTCACATATCTAATACCGCACAACGGAATCAGACTTGAGCAGCCACGGCCTTCTTCAAAATCAACAGATCCAATTGTTCCATTGCCTACTATAAGGAGAAACTCAGAGTACGCAGTGGAGCCAGAAGTTCTGTGAGGGGTGGACAGGGAAAAGATTTTGAAACTTGACCACAGAGATGACACACACAGTGATACACAGGCAATGTCGGCCGGAGTACGAGCCTTGGCAACAACTGGTGCGATCTGACGGAAATCTCCGCAGCAGATGAAGATCTTGTCCCCAAATGGCTCAGGTGAATTCATGAGGTCACGCAGAGATTTGTCGATAATTTTAAAAATGCACCGGTGAGCCATCGGAGCCTCATCAAAAATAATGAGCTGTGCTGCTCTGATGAGTTCTGCACGCTGAGAACCGTTGGTCAAGTTCCAATACCCAGTGCCATCGCCGAGATCAAGTGGCAGCCTAAACATGCTACGTGCTGTCGTGCCACCAGGCAGACTACCATAGCAGCAATGCCGGAGCTAGCGACAGCAATAGCAAACCTGTTAAGACTATGAACGTATGCGAGGATCACACGAATAAGGAAGGTCTTGCAGTAGCCACCAGGTCCGTCGAGGAAGATACAATTAATGGACCTACTACCGACTTGTAATATCGATCTTACATAATCAAAAACCATTCTCTGGTCGATAGAAAGCTTTGGTTCCCACTCATCTACCAGTGATCTCTGTTGATTCTCACCGAAGATGAGTAGTTCCCTACCCAATTCGGTAGTGTCGTCATTTACAATGGGGAGACCGTGATCGGCCAAGCAGGATCCCTGATGGCGAAGACTTCGATCGATTTCAATCAGACCCAGCTTGAACGCAACGTCGTGATCAAGAGGATTCCGCTCCAAATCCTCTTCACACAATGTATCACGGAAAGCATCCCACAAGAGGGCCGCAGGAGCTCCCATGTTACAAAGAAGAACAAAGAAAGAGCGGAGCCTCGGGCCGACCATAAATCGAGCAGATTCCTTCAGTGCCTGGTGGTACTCGTCCTCATCTTCAACCAAACCGAGGGTGCTTGTTCTTGTTGAAATGTTGTGCAACCATCACCACCACGAGCAAGCAGATCGGCGTAACCACGGCATGGTATGATCATCAGGAGGAGCCGAAGGAAACATTGCTCACTCCTGTTTGGTGAAACCCAGAAGAGTCGACAGATCTTTTGGCCACATTTTCTGGAAGTTAAGAAGTGCTTACCGTCTGGGTGTTCGTACACCTTAGCACTACTCGGGCGTTTACTGTGAACGATGTATTGTTCAAAAAAACTCTGATATGTTAAATTGTCTAACATTATGGGTCACTTGGCCTATTGAAATAAAAGATCAAGTCAGAGGTAGCTCCAGAAGTGGCGTGTGTCAAGTTGTTAGGTCGAAACCACACATTCTGTTTTCCCTCTAGATGAACAGGGAGACATTCATCAGTGGGCTCAGACTTTGATATTGGGAAATCCAAGAGACGCCAGCATGCATCGCTGGCACCCACCATACGCTTAGTCACATAGCGCTCGACTTCGTCGCCTTGTTTACTCAAAGAAAACTTTGACGTTCTGAAGCGAGCCACCCTTCATGAGGTATTTAAACAGATACTTGATCACACGACGAGTGGAAGCTACCTCCAAGTTAATGTGCGCCTCGTATTTTAGAAGTAATGCTGGGTTGTACGGCACGACCCAGCCGTCATGTACAGGAATCGATTTGTTTCTTGAAGTTATACTCCCCTCGTTAGCATAATCACATCGATATTTTACAAAACCCCTCTCGTCTAAATGGGTTGATTCACAGGGAGGTTTGGGGATGAATTTAGAGCAGCTGCCTTTGTCGGTGTCCCAGCAAGGGAAGTCGGTTCTGTGATCTGTACCACAAGGCCCGTGAATCATGTGCCGCAGAACCAACGCCCTTAATCAACCTCCTGCCTCCTCCGGAGATGGAATATCAGCGCGAATGAGGGAGTCTATGTCGGCAGCCTGAACAGGTCCATCGCCTTCGATTTTAAACACAATGTGGGCGTGTGGAAGACCCCGCATCTGCATCTCGATGACGTGGACTATGTTAACAGACCGACCGAACATAGCTCCGCTGCGTGGATCTCGGAGGGGTTCCAGAAGTTTGATGTAGAACACTCTGCAGCCCGTGCTGGGATCACTGTGACCGCTGCTTCGAGGGCAAGCCTTTTTGTTTTCCTCCCAAGTCGTGCTGTAGGTAAATGTAAGGAAAAACGTAGGAAAGCCGAGACGAGAAACTAAGACCATAGCATTTTTGTAACGTAATTTTATATACCTCGGCCCCCCTGTGTACGAACTTGGGAGGTAAACTTTACCAGCTTGTATCCCACCCTCTCCTTGAACAGTTTCATCATTGTTGATATCGTTCACCACTTGACGTCCACCACGATTCACCGCCTCAACTTCATCCAACGGCCCTATCCTCATGGCATTTTCTGCCGACTTAGTCTGCAAAAACTTAATAAAATTAAGCCTTTCATCCTCGTATCTTGCATACATTTCCACCTGCCAAGCTTGGGACAGCCGGCCGAGATGTGAAAACCGGGGATCTGATAGTAAAAGACAACGTGAATAATCGTACTGAGAACATTTTTTATTAAAATTGTCCAGGCGTCCTATGTGCCAGCCCAAAGTGCCATTTGGATAGAGCAGAGGATATAGAAATGGTTCCATGAGAGGGCTGAACAAATTTATTGAAGTTGGTCTTCCAGATCCATTTTTCCATTTAGTTAGCTTGCGAGGTTCGTAAACAGTTTCCTCGGTGCTTAAAACTGCGTGCACCTCAACGCCAATTGTCTGTCACCTAAAACAGGACCATGGGTAGATCGACTTGTTACTTGGAAATCCAAGTGAGCGTTGAAAGCAGGTTCACTGCCCAAACGCCGATAATGAACAACGTATGGATTAACTTGTGATAGAAACTGAGTAATAGAGTCGATAAAATTACCATCAAGCGATCTGCCCAAGGCAATATTTCGACGTTCTTCGCTGTCATCGAGGTACAGACGAGACCTGTTTACAAACTGAATGGCTCCAGCTTTAGTAGTAAACTTTTGACCAGGGTCGGACAGACTGTAAACCTGGTGATACATTCTCCCTTCAATTTTGAAAAAACGAAGACCACTTGGGTGCCTGTACCCACCGAATACTTCCAATGCACAAAACGCAAACAGGTCGTTGTAAGCACGAGCCCTATCAAGGAAACGGCGATCTGAGTAGAACGATTCTTGGAGAGGATGTAGGTTCAGATCGTTGTTTGCCCCTTGACCACAACACCACTTCTTCCTACACTTTTCCTCTTCAAAAAGTCGAGCAACACAGTAAGTACACTTGAAAATACTATTATCCCACAGACTAACTTTTTTCAGATAAAAAGCAGGAATATTGTCCAATAGCTCCCCTTCCCAAGACCCCTTGGACCGTGATGAAAAATATGTCTAGCAAGTGCAGCAGGTAAATGACAAAGCTCAGAAAGCATAGGATTTTTTAGGGGATAATCAAAAACTGTATTGCACAGTAACAATGACACCAAAGAGTAGTAACTTTCACAGGTAAATAGTCTTGCCAAGTTGTTAGAATCCTTGAGAAAATCGTGTTGGCGCTCTTCATTCACAGCATGAGGATCAAATAAAAACAGGCGGTTCTGACATCTCCATAACCCGACCACAATTCAATCCACAGAATAAAAACATTCAATCCAGTGAATAAAAACCCCAATTGATTGGACTTATTCAGCATTAGTACTTCCAACTCACATGAAAGTTCAAAGATACTAACGTCCAAAAGATCGCGAGTAAGCGGGTACAATGCATCGTACACATACTTTATTTCTGCAATGGCAACTTGATGATCTGCCACAACAAACTGACTTGGAAGTTCGTCAGGAAACAAAAATCGATTACCACCAACACAATCCACGTTTCGAAGAGATCTTTATAAAACATCTCTGCTAATTAAAATTGTATCAATCGCAGAAGTCGAGAAATCTTTGCCAAGAAACTTCCAAGCTCCAGAAACTTTGCACTCACTAAAAAACCCCCTCTACTCTGTTGGACACAGACCTGGGATTGTTTGTCACATTACTTCAGGTCAGGTCAACGTGTGACCTAAGCCCTCAGGGCTCGCGCCGTTTCTGGCATTCAATTTCTTTATGACCTAGACTGCATCTCGGTCAAGCTCTAGCTTCTTTGTGCGGAGAATATCCTGGACGAAATGTGACATACAGGTCCAATTTTCCTCACCCTCCGTCATCATCGGAATGACCGTGTCCACCAACAACTGCCCTACATGTTGTTCAGCCTCCAGGCGGGAACCTTCCCAACACTGGCAGCGGAAGAAGGTGTGCGGCGGGAGTGCCTGGGCAGTAGATGCAATCGGATGACACGGCTTTGCCCATCCTGAACAGGTACGACCGAAAAAACCCGTGACCTGTCAGAAACTGGGTAAGGTAATAATCCACCTCACCATACCGTCGGTCAACCCATGGTTGGACTTGCTGAATCAGTCTCCTGGTCCAGCGTCCCCGCGACACCTGTTCCCAGCTCTCCTGCCAGAGCTGGTAGGTGCGGTTGCGCTCCTCCATTTTTGCATGGTCCTCTCCACGCCGCTGATAAATCGCTTTCCTCTCCGCCGCTAAAAGTTTGACGGGGTTTACTCCAGCAACCACCAAGATGGCAGGTTCAGACACTGTTCGGTAGGCGGATGCTACCCTGAGTGCTGCCTGACGCTGCACTCTGGCAAGCCGCATCCTATACACCTCCTTATTGAGCGCGTCTGCCCACACCTCCGCACCATACAGGAGCACATCTTTCCCTCGCCATTCTTACTTTAATAGGTGTTCCCTCTTCATTCTTACTTTATTTATAAATCATTTTAATACAGACGAACAATCAATGTTGGAAATATCAATCCATGTACGATAAAGTTCAATAAACAAACTCGTGATAATATTTAACATATCTTATGTACTGTTTTTACTAATTTGCCACTTTACTGTACAATGTTACATTTCATTTATTTACATTTTGGTAAAGCTGTCTTGGCTACCTTAGCTTTCCATAAGACCAATGTTGGGCCAATTAAAAATTCATTTTAAGCTTTTATCAAAAAGCAAATTTTCCCAGAACCATGACAAGCATGAATTTTGTTTTAGTCTGAAACTGAGATATTCCTAACAGGAGCTGTTTTGAAATCTTTGTTTCGCAAACGTTTATAGTATAGATTGTATTTCTCGTTGTGTCAAAATTTTCCG